CAGACTCCAGAGGCATGAACAAAGAGGGCCTTTTCATAACAACCAACAGGGCATAACCACAGCTCTCTCCAAACACCTATGTACCGTCAGCAAAGGGAATAAACAGTGCCTCACACCTCCCAGGGCCCAGCCTCAGGCAGAGCTCTCTGCAAAGGAAGCCCTGGTGAGTTTTGTGCAGATCCCTCCCAGAGCTGGGCTACCGCAGGGTTTCTGCCACGGGAAAAACTTGCTCTGACAAGGTACAGCACAGAGAGCTAAGCCCTCTGGACTGCATCCCTCTGACCCCAGGGGGTCCCCAAAGCACACACAGGACTAGGGCAGACAAACATTTATTGATGCTCGGGCAGGACCAAGGTTTACATCAGTACCACGTGGATAGCGGGGGAACGCAGATCCTGCTGTGGTGCAGGACCAAGCACCAACAAGGGCAGGGGCTGTGGGTCCCAGGCAGGAGGACACCCCATACACTGTCTGGCCCATGGCTCTGGCGGTAACACAAGGGAAGGCAAACCCTCCATGGAAGTGCTGCAGCAGGAGCTAGGACAGAGGACAGCCCACAGTGCACAGGGCTGACCCTTGGGCCTTCTTCGCCAGCCAGCAGAGCCTTACCCAATGCTGCTTTCTGCTGGGGAGCCCAAACACAGGAGAGACAAAATACAGCCCTGGACAACAGCACCAACAGGAGGCCCCTTCCGCTACTCCCCATCAGCACTGACCCTTCCCAAAGGCTGGGACCAGGGCCTCAGCTTAGTCCCAGCCTGCCCAGTGCTGGAAACATCAGACATATCCCTGCTTGTCCAGAGCTCCTCCAGTGCAACCTTGGTTCTGCAGCATGTCAGGACTGGTGATCAGCTCCAACTGCCTCCATGACGTTCCTGAAGCCCTGCTCCCTACAAGGGACAGTGTGTGGCCATGGGCCGGCCTGGCACCCTGCCTTGGCCCAGCAGTACTGTGCCTGAGCACTGGCATATGGCTGCCTGGAGCTGCCCTGGGGACGTGTCTGGCCTTTACTCACCTCAGCAGCTCCTCCAGCTCCTGCTTCACTGCCTGCACCACCGGTGGCCCGTGGTACACAAGCGCTGTGTACATCTGCACAAGCGAGGCTCCAGCACGGATCTTCTCCAGGGCATCCTGCCCACTGCTCACACCACCCACCCCGATGATGGGTACTTGGCCTGTGGCAGATACAGGGTCAGGACAGCGCGGGCAACACTGGCCCACACCCCCAGGCCCCTGCCCCTACCTCGGGTGAGGGAGTACATGTCCCTGATGGTCTGTGTGGAGAGCTCCCGCAGGGGCTTCCCGCTGAGGCCGCCAGGCTCTGAGCGCTGCCTGCTCCGGAGGCTGCTGGGGCGGCTCACCGTGGTGTTGCTGACAATCAGCCCATCCACACCGAGCTGGGGTGGGGGGGGGGGAGCAGCATGAGGTCCATGAGCAACCCCTGCTCTCACCCACCAGGTGCCGCCAGGCCAGCATCCCCGAGGGACATGCACCAAGCAACATGCCTGGGACAAAGCGGCCACCTCTCCCTGGCTCTGGGTGGCACAGAGAGGCCCTCATAGACTCAGAGCTACACAGGGCACTGTCCCTACAGCAGCCAGAGTGCTGCAGGTCTGCCTGTCCCTTCAGAGGTGACTTGCCAGGAGCACAGCAGTCCTGCGATCACGCTGCAGGGGGTGAGGCAGGACACAGCACCCAGCTCCTTGCCAGCCTCCTGCTCCCCCCTCCTCACCTCGCAGACAACGCTGGCAATGTCCTGTTTGTCCTGTGTGCTGAGGTCAGGGGCGATCTTCACAAGCACAGCTGGCTTGTGTCCACAAGGCAGTGCATCCCGTGCCGCCAGTACCTGCAGGGCAGTGCATGGGGCACAGAGCAACGTGTGCTGGGGACACACACGCACCCACCAGCAGCAGCAGCACGGGATGGGCCCTGCTCTCCTCAAGTGCTGCCAGGGCATGCAACCTGCACAGGCCCACAGTGAGTCCCAGTGCCATGGGACAGGGAGGCAAAGCGGAGGGCAGTGCCACACAGCTTATGTGCTTCTTGATGGAGTATAGTTCCCAGTGAGCCCTGTGCCAGCAGCTGACCAGGGGACATCTTGGTGGCTCTGCCCTCCTCTCCAGGGTGCCACCATGCTCCTCCCTGTGCTGGCAAACCTGGCTGGAGCAGAGCAGGCGCTACCAGGGCACAGGATGCACCCCTGGTGCAGCTGTGGTCTGGGCTGGCTGTGAGGGTCACCCACCTTGGTCAGCAGGTCCTGTAGTTCAGCCTTGCTCTGCAGGTGCCGCAGCCCTGGCGTGTTTGGGCTGGACACATTCACAACCAGATAGTCAGCCAAAGGGCCCAGTGTCCGGACCCCAGCCACGTAGTCAGCTGCAGCATCAGTGGAGCTTTTGTTCTTGCCCAGATTGATTCCAAGGGGCATCCCCACTGGAACACAGACATGGCTGAAGCATAGCAGCAGGACCACCCACCGCCCAGAGCACCTGACAAAGGAGCCCCAGCACCAGCTAAAATCAAGATGGGGATATGCAGACCATGTGTTTCATGGAGGTTTGCCTGGGAATGTCCTGCAAGCACAGGAGCATCACCACAGCTGCCCCACTTAGCACCTCCAGCACCGCAGCCTCCAGCCTGGCCACACAGCAGAGACTGCTCTGGGAAACTGCCCAGCTCTGGCTGCTCTCAGCAGACACATCCTGCCCAAAGCAGCAAACGTAGCCTCTGTTGCAGAGCAAATGCCTGGAGAAAGGTCTTGGTCACAGTCCCAAAGAGAAGAGCTACAGCCCCAACAGGGTTCCTGCTGTCCTAGTGCACCTTGGTCTGGCCAGGGCCCTCCCATGCTTGGACACTGGTTTTACACACTCTTCCTGGTCTACATGGAACCCATGAAGACAAAAAACTACATCGGAGACCCCAAACCCACCCTGCAAACTCCAAGAGCAAAGTCTGATAAGCTGCCTCACCAGCAGTGAGCCGGAGCTGTGTATCCTGGCGGGCCTGCAGCCTGCACTCCACTGCAGCGTGGCCGTGGCTGTTGAACCCATACCTGCACCACAACAGGCAAGGTTCAGGCCTGTGCTGGGGCCACAAGACCCGAGCAGGACACAGGAGAAACGGGAAGAGACAGCTCAACTCTGCTCAGCACATCTCACAGAGGAGCCACCACAGCAGAGCCAGTACCACCCAAACAAACACCCAGCCCCGTGTGGGCAGCCCATGGGACCCTGCAGAGCTGCACCCTCGGGTCCCACCTGTTAATGACTGCCTCATCCTCCACCAGCCGGAACACCCTAGGCCTGGGGTTCCCCTCCTGGGGCTGCGGCGTTACAGTCCCGACTTCCACAAAGCCGAAGCCCATCTTGTACAGCCCATCCACGGCCTCGCCGTGCTTGTCGAAGCCAGCCGCCAGGCCCACCGGGTTGCAGAACCGGTGCCCGAGCACTTGCACCTCCTGCGGGGCGGGGGCCGGGTCACACACGATCAGCCGGGAACCAGACCTTCGCCCCAGCCCCTGTCCTCCGTTTCTTTTGCCCAGGGGGCCTACGCTCCGGCCGGGGCCATATTCTGAGCCCGGGACCATGCAAGGAGCCCCGGTGGGCACCTCCGCGGGCTGGCAGAGCTCATAGCCCGCCGCGGACCTGCCCGCTCTCCCCCCATGCCCACTGCCCCCCGCCAATCCCCCGCCCCGGTGTCCGCCCACCGCAGAGCCGCACCAGCGCTGGGCCGTCGGAACGGGCGGGAGGCAGCAGCCCCAGGGCGGCGAAGCGCAGGGCCAGCCTGTGCGCTGCCTCGGGGGGTAGCGCGCGCAGCGCGGGCATCGCCGCCGCGTAGAGCCGCTCATCGCCCGCCGCCAGCGCCGAGCCCAACAGCAGCCCGCAGCCGCCCAGCGCCGCCGCCAGCGTCCGCAGCCGCCCCTGCGGGAAATGGTCAGCAGCGACATAGTCAGGACGGTGCCCGCCCCACAACCCTCCCGTACCGGCCCCGCGGCCCCCACGCGGCCGCCCCGCTCCGTCCCTATTGCCCTACGTCCCCCGCCCCGCCCGCGGCCCTCCGGCAGCTCACGCGCAGCGGCGCCGCCATCTGCTCAGCCCGAAACGTGGAGGGTCACTTCCGCGACCCCGCCCCGGTGATTGGCTGAGGCCGGACCGTGCAGCCAATAGCGAAACGACAGAGCTCGGGGCTAGAGCCGAGGGGGCGGAGCCCGGAGCGAGCCCGCCCTTACCCACCCCCACCCCCAAGCCCGGGGGTCCCGTCCCCTCGTCCCTGGTCCCCGCAGCACCGGACACGGCCGCTCCAGCCCCGGCTTTATTAGGAACCAACCCGCACCGTACAAATCAGCCGAGCGCCAAGGAACGGTCCCGTGAAGCGCTACGTACAGAGACACCAGACTGTGCCAGAGGGGACACAGGTACAACCAGCACCCTCCACCGTGCTCCGTAAGCAGAGCTGCTGCCACGCGTCCTGTCAGGGCTCCTCAGCCTTGATTAACCTGCGCACTCAGTGCCCAGTCGGCACCTGCAAGCTCCTCCGTCTGGCCTACATGCAGTGCCCGTGGGGTCAGGACAGGGAACAGGGCTGAGGACACGGCCAACACCATGGAGAGGCCTCAAGCATCCAGCAGGAGTGAAAGAGGACATCAGGCAAACTGCGACCAGATACAGCTGGAGCCAGGGAGGTGGCAGATGGGTACACCCTGAAGGACAATGTTACATCTCCTCACACACAACCATGTTCCCCACCTCAGCCCCAGTTATCTGGAAATCCTAACAAAGAGACTTAATCACCCTGACCACAGATGCCATGGAGCAGAGAGGGGGAGCCTGTGGGCAATGCTGCCCTTGAGACTGAAGGCCAAGCACAGCTTCCCTGTACAGCTTCCCAGACAGACAGGAGCTGTTTCCTGCTCCAGTCTCACCAGACTTCCCGCAGCTCACCTCCTGGACCAACAAAGGTCAGGACAGTGGCAGCAGCTGGTTTAAGTATGGTGAGAAAAGAGCTCAAAGAGAAGAGTGCATTCATTTGAGGTTAACAGATAAAACAAATTTCAACGGGAGTCAGTTTCAGTGAGAAGAGGCATCACAGCTCCTGCCCCTCACCTTGGGGTTACAGCCCAGTCAGTTTTATGTTTTCTTCTTCAGCTCCTCAAATCTCCTAGAAAGATCATCAAAGTCAATGTCTTCAGAGGCAGAAGAGTTGGCGCCAGCAGATGCTGTTGGCAGCGTGTCTGGTACAGATGGCAGTTCAGGCAGCACAAAGTTATCAATGGTATTAGGAGCTCCAGCTTGTGGTTTAGGAGAAGCCTCCGACTTGGGCCCGGGCCCTATTTAGAGTAAGAGAAATATCATTTTACCTCACTACCACAGACACAAGAGGGCCACACAAAAGAAAGGCTGTTCTACCAAAACTGGCAGTACCAACGGGGTTTTCAGAACAGGACCAGTGGTCAGGCAGCTCAGATTACAGAGACTCACTGGGGAAAACCACATCTCAGCTTTAGGAGGCTGGAACGAGCAGCAGCCGAGGCAGATCCAGACCTGCAGACCTGTGCCGAGGCTGCAGCAGAAGCACCTCTGCAGCCTACAGCCCGCTGCGGCCGGGCTGGAGTTGCCCCCACCTGCAATGGCAGGACTGTACCAAGATCCAAAGCCTAGAGCTCCTCACTCCAGCACCTCCTAGAGACAAACACCAGTATCACACTGTCACACAGCTGAGACTGAAGCATACAGCCAGACCCAGTGCACCCAGAGGCGTATCTTCTTCAGCACACAGAAACACTCCCCAGAGAAAATCTTGTTGCAGCTGGCAAGGGTCTACTTACTCTAAAAAGCCTCTCAGCCTTTATCAAAAGCTAGAGATAACAAGTACTTTCAAAACACACAAAGCAAAAATCACACTGCACAAGACAGGAGAATTTTGTTATGATCTAATTACGCTGCAAGAAGCACCTTGTAAGACTTTAGGCAGATGGACTGATGGATAACAGCTATCACTACTAGCCCTGCTCTGCTGTATGCAATTTCAACACTGACATTAATACAAAACCTGTCTACCCTCTTGGTACATACTCCTTTCATTCTCTTGCTGCAGAGCAGTATTATTTACAGTGTGTAAAAATACATTGCCACTTAGAGCTGTTGTTTTCTCATTTTATCATGCGGCACCTCATTTTTGCTCTGACAGGACAGCTTAAGCTGGAGACCTAGTACTGACTCCTATGTCAGACTCTAGTTCTTGAGTTTCCCGGTGGAAGTCTGGATCTGCCCTGTTTTGAGAGGATACTCTGCACTCCTGTCAGAATCCTCTCCAGGCTCAAATCATGCTCTCAAAGTGCATTAGGTTGTACAAATTGCTCCCTGTGTGGAAAGCTTCCTTCCAGGGACACCAGGATCCTGAGCTAAGTACAGCCCCTGACCATCCCAGGTTTCCCAAACTTCTGGATGTACTCACCAGGCACCGGCGCAGGAGTGTCCTTGTCAGCGTTAGGCTCGGCAATCTGAAAAAGACTGTTACTTACTACAGCTCTTTGATACATGTCAGAGGATTTCACTGATGTGTAGGCACTGCTCACGGGCAGCAGCAGCCGCACTAGTGGGCTGGAGGCTATGGCTCCCAACACACTCACAGGAACCTGCCTTTCTACCCTAGAAAAGGAGGGGAGTGCTTTGACTTTCCCTCCCTGTCAATTAAAGCATCTCCACTGGCCATATTCCAGAACTGGATTAACAGAACATGTCCACTAGCAGGTCTGAAATATTTATTACAGACGTGTGAGAAGACTGCCCTCTTCATCCATGGCTGTAATCACAGCCACCACTTCTTTTCTTTCACAAAGGACAGACATGTCCTTGTAACCAGTAGTAAGGTATGAAATGAACCCCATCTCAGGTCTTCATCCAGCTGGGACAAAGGCCCATGGTCAGCTGTGCTGGCTTAACTCCTCATTCCCTGCAGGCTGCAGGGACATCTGTCCCCACCTAGCTAAAAGCTCCTGTGTCTGTGCCTGCACCGCTTGCACCCAAAGGCTGCTGTACAGCTGGTACAAGGTGTCAGCACTCACGGGTGCTTGGCGATGCTCATCCCTATACCCAGGATACTAGAAAAAGAAGCAGCATGTCACTGAAAGCAAGATGGGAGGTGTGGTCCTGAACTGCAGCAACAAAAACATAGACAAGCAGAGAAAGAAAAGGGTCCATCCTCTCCTTGGTTGTCCCCAAGGACTGAGAAAAGTCTGGGAGAGGAAGTGTTTAAACATACATCATCCAAGTCAGCCAAAATTGTCACCCAGGCTAACTGTGTGTTAGTTCAAAAGCCATAATCAAGCAGACCAAAGGCAATATGCCCCGACATAAAAAAACCCAGAATTTGTGGACTCTACTTGTTAACTATTTATCACCATTTTAACAAAGCAGTAAAATAAACCTTGGCTTTCTTTTGCAGGCAAACCACACAGCTGAATGAGGTCACAAGTCATCCTCCCATCACATGCACTCGGTGATTCACCACACTCTAAGCAACAACAAGCACCACCCCCAGATCTACACAGGGCAACAGCAATGTGCTTCATCAACATTTGCCTTTTCTGTGGCTACCACAGCCCTCTTCTTGCAGTTCCCTGTGCTGCCTACAATGGTGATCCAGCTCAGGCACTTACAGACTCATATGTTGGTGGGTTTGCCGGAACTGGTGGTGGGTGAATGTTGGTGAAAGGCTGATAGGTCCCCACTGGTACACCACTGAAGTTCTCCTGTACAGAGAGATTACAGTCGTGCACCAAACAACTCACCTGGGAGAGTAACCATGACACCCATAGCTACTGTGCGAGTCAGAGAAAGTGATCTCAGGTAAATGCAGGAAAGTATCCAACCGAGTATAGTTTATACTTATAAGGAAAAGATTTACAAGTATTAAGCCAGATGTAGTCACCTAGAACAACCAAACCCAGATAACACTACTATGGGTTATTCTAAAGAGCCATCATGACTAAACACCTCACCTTTCAAGGCGTTAGAAGTACCAGGACAAAGAGGGCAATACCCTGCATTAAACACACGAGCCATTTTCCAGAGTGCAGCATGACAAAGGACAAAGGAGGTCTCTGGCTCACTCAAGGCTTTGTATTACCCTTCTAACACAACAGTGCCTCAAAAAAACATATACTTGGCACAAGTTCTCACTGTATTTATGCCTGGGACAACAGCCAGCTGATGATGCTTGGCCCAGATTCTCTACAAAAACCACTGCAGCACTGCTGGCACCAATATAAAGACTCCAACCCATCCCACTGTTCCACTACTTTGCAGTCTATACAGATACCCTGTAAATGGTTGAATTTGGAGAACAGTGCTGTTTCCAGCTCCCACCTTCCAGCCTCACAATAAGACATCTCCAAGAGTCACTGGCCTGGGTCTCCTTCCCTTGCAGGTCTGAAGGCAGAGCACTTCTGCATTCTTATGTGCTGTTCCCACCCTACAAAACTCACCTCATTTCCTTAACTGAATCTTGGCACACTACCAGCCTACCAAAGTCAAAATGCAGCCCAACCCATGGTCAAAAGTCTGGCAGTCAGAAGACTGATTCAGGAGTTAAGTCTGGACTCCCCTGTTCCCTGAAGGCAAAGAGGGCTGGCTGGAGAACAGGGCTAGGAACCTCCACAGTCAAGAAGCAATATGAAGCTTCAGCTGCACTGCCAACAGTTTCCATCCCAACGTGATAGCCTTCTGACACATCAAGCTATCAGGTATAGACACTCTCAAGGCAGCAGGCATAAGCTAAGCACCACAACTGGAGTCTTCCACAGAAACAGGGAACATCAAAGCAAAGGCACTTACCGGTCCCTTTGGAGGTGGGTAGGAGAAGGGCGGAGTTGGTGTTGGCATGGGCATAGGCATCATCACTGGCATGGGTACTAATCCATCATGACCAACCATTGGGGCTGTAAACCCACCACCTCCTCCCCCTCCTTGGCCACCCTTCTTCACATCATCTGTAAATCCCACATCAATCAGATCTGCCTCTCCGCCTGCAGGGGCTTCAGCCTGGAGAGGGTGGAAGAATTCTGCTCACCAACATATCCCTGTTCTGATCCCATCCCTCTGAAGAGCATTAGATGCAGCTTGGAGAAGATGGGACAACACAATGAGGACAGAATAGACAGCAGCTACACAGTGATATTAATGGGAATCATAAAGGTAACCAGACTATAGCATGGCTAACTATGGCCACATGCTGTAGGGCTGTGGGAAGGAGCAGAGATCGTGTACTCAAAGGCCGTCCACAAAATATCAAAGCACAATTATCACTGACCTTGCTGCAATGCCACAGCCCTGTGCTCTGAAAGCCCACACATTTCAGCCACTGGAACACCAAAAGGAGGTCCAGATTTGCAGACGCCTCACTCACCATCACCACAGAGTCAGGTTCATAGGGCACATTGTAATTCTTAGCAATCTCGATGAGGTATCTCTCCACCAGAATCTTGGGTGGTGCCTCCACACTCAGCTTGTGCATCAGCTAGAATACAACGTAGAGAGACACTCATGGGACGGGGCAGTGCAGCAAAGCTCCACCCCAGCTGCTACAGGGAGGGATGCCCTTCCTCCCAGAACAGCACTGCTGCAAGGGAGGCTGCTGGCAGCCACAGGCCAGGGCTCCATGTGTGCTGCTCCTTTTCATCTGCAGCCAGCACAGCAAGGCCCCACCACCAGGGACCTCAGCACTGTGCTTCACCACATGCAGGACCCTACCCTGCATGAGCCACAGGCATCAGCCACTGGTGACCCAAAAAGGGTGCAGAAAGCCACAGCAGTCATGTCTGTTCTGCCAGCTCCAGCTGGCTGCTGCTGTTCCACCAGTTCATTACCCTGTCATTGACTGTCCCAATCTGGTTTGTCCGGCACAGCTTCCCATACTCCTTGCTGTACTTGGCACAGAGCTGGTCAGCAACCTGCAATAGGAGAAATCACATACTACGTATCTGCTGTATTGCTCTCATTTCTGCTACTGAGTGCCCCAGCTGAGCAGTCTTAGCCACCCCTGATGCTTCAGGGACACCTATACTGGGGTCTCAATCTGCAGAGCCCATAAAAACATGTCGTCTGCCTTAATAATAGAGGCCCAAAGACATTCACCAGCCTCTTGCAGCGTCACCCCCACCCTGCACACGTAGCACCCCTCAAATAACCCTACTCACAATCTTCAACTCAGCCACTTCTGACTGGAGTCGTGGTGCAGCCCAAATCAGTGTAGATACTGCTTCTGCCAGGCCAGAGTCCAGCTCCCTATGGATAACAGAAGACAATCCTATCTCCACACCAAGCACTTAAGTCTTTGCTGCCCTCAATCTGCTTAGCCTGAAGGTCCCATCAACCTTGCTGGGCTCCAGTTTTCCCTGCCTGAGAAAAAAAGCACTCTGAAATCCCTAGAACACCCAAACACAGGTCCCCTTCTGTATCCCAGGCCTGCCCCTAGCAGCATTCCTCCTTGAGCCCAGGGGCCTGGACCCCCTCCCACAGCACCCCCTCTAGGCCAGAGCTTACTTCATGGACTGAATCAAGCCGAAGCGGGCTAGCAGCAGGTCGCAGTACAGCTCCAGGATCTCCATGGCCTCCACAAGGTAATCTTCACGGATGATGTGCTCCACACGAATCCTGGCACGCTCATCTTTTCCGGCTGCCAGATAATCTGCAATCTCCTTCCTTGCCTTCTGGGCCAGCTCAGCTACAGCACATATCCCCAAGACCCGTCACTGTGCTGGCAGAGCTGCTGCCTTCATAACCATCCACAGTCCCCACCACACAGTCACCACAAGCTTCTCTCTCTCCTTCATTGAGCTTCTGCAATGCAAGCCACTCTGCCATGGCTTGGTTGAGCCCTTGTGTCTAAGTCCTAGCACACTAACTCACAGAATAAGAGAGAGTGGGCTTTTAGGTGCCAAAAATTACTCCTACACCTTTGATTTCCCTGCGGAGTCAGTCAGAACCATGGATCTTATCCGTGTCTGAGCAGGACAGGTGGGGAGAGCCTCCCCACCATGCTGTGAATACAGAAAGCCCAGGAAAGCCCCTCCTGGGGCAAACTGGCATGTCCCTTCACACACAGCCCAATGCTACCACCCCACGTGCCCCACAGACTGCACACCAAGGAAGGTGGCCAGCCTGCTCCAATGGGTACACCAGGGCAGACTGCAAGGCCTGGGTCCAGCAAGGGAAAGCAAAAGACTTCTCCATACTTGGCCCATGAAAGTACCCCAACTCCAGAACAGTCTCAAGGCTCCTGAGCCCCAAGAGCACCCTGGGTTGCACTTGTCCCCTCAAATACTCACTCTTCTTTTTCTCCAGCAGTTTGAGGCGATTGATGACAAGGCGCAGGTTAACTCGCAAGCGCTCAGCCTTGAACCCAGCGCCCAACATGATAGATGCTTGCTGTGAAAGAAGACGGAAAGTCAGTGGAACCAAGACCTGCCAGTCAGAAGGAGCAGTCACGGCTTTACTCAAGGACAAGAAAAAAACAACAACAAACCCCAAAAAAAAACCAAACAAAAAAACCCCTACCACTGAATTATTCAAACAAACAGGCCCAGGCCTGCTATTCCTGAATATGACTGGACCTACAGCACTCATCATTCCCTTTTCCGTTTTACAGCCCTGTACCTATCCACAACAACAGGGAATAGAAACTTCCTGGATAGTCCCACTCTAATAGACTGAATTTTGACCCCAGAAACAGATTTATGCTGATCAAAACCTGGGATTACCCCATAAATATGAACAGGGTTAGAAAACACATCCTAGAACAAGAAGGCCCTGGGTCTCTTTAACCTAGGTAAATGACACCAGCCACTAATGTCAATAGCAGAGCACAGTAAAGCTTTAAGAACATTAGAGAAACATCTACCAGCAGTGGTTTAGGAAAGTGTGGCTGTGCTCAGTTCAGTACACTAAGCTTACTGAGATGTGTTTTGAGATTCAGCTCTAGAAATCTAAGAAGCCCGAGTAGAAAAAAAACCACAGATTTCACAATAAATTGCATAGCTGCTAGAAGACATGCTTTCATTCCCTGTTTTGAAAGGTGAGGGAAGTAAACCAATGCCTCAAGATGCCATCTGTGACAACTATCACAGTCAAATCCTGTTACTTCATGGACAAAACCACATTTTTAAAGGAAATGAAATCAATTGCAAGAACCAAGCCTATTAATATGTAAGCTGTAAACTAGCTGTATAATTAACCTAAGGACTGTACAAACTAGGGTTGTTACAATCCTGTCATCAGGAGGGAAAAGTTGCCATTTCATATCCCTCACACTTCCTACTTCCTGCTTCTTGAATGCATACTCTGGCATGTCTCCAGTCTCTCACGAGTTCAACTCTTCAGCCCTACAGAAAACTCAGAAGACATTTTGTTACAGCATTTTGTTATGCCAAGAACCAGTCATCAAAAATGCTTAAGAACTATCACACTGAAAGACTTTAACTTGTATCTGAAGAACAGTTTGATGAGACTTTTGGATAGCGATAACATTTTGTGTGTTAACAAGTGCTTTGCACTGTAACAAATCTTATCTACAGTATATCCAGTTTATTTAGCTGATCTATTCACACATCAATAGTTACTTCAGCGATGCACAGAACCAACCAAACTCAAAACGCTGCCACAGAAATATGTATGCATGATCCAAGCCTGATGCCATAAAAAAGGTTCTGCCCTTCTGTAACTCGAACATACTCCTACAACATTAAAAGAACTTTAGAGTGCAGCATGAAAGCCTCAGCACGAGTTGCAATGTCTCTGTAAAAGTACCTAGTAAACATCTATTCCCATAAACAACCTGCTTTAACTCAAAGGTAGCCACTAAGTAGCCAGCTCATTGCTTCTTTTCCAACCATCCTGCCCCTCAAAGAGTTCTGTTGCACTCACTGCCCCGCATGAGGCTCCAGCCACGCTGCAGCAGAAGGGCCGACCCAATCCTTTCCTCCCTGCCTTGCCTCTCCGTCCCTTCCTACAGACACACAGCTACTGTGACCAGACTTAAATCAACCTCTCCCCGCAGCGCAACGAGGCTCTCGCCAGGGCAGCTTCCAGCACAGCGCCAGCGGGCCCGACTCGCCGCGCACCTCCAAGGCGCCAGCGATAGCTCCCAGCACCGCGCCGGCAGCGCTGGGAGTTGGGCTTTATCGGAGCGGCTGCTGGGTTGGCTTTATCGGAGTTGGCTGCACCGTGAGGGGGTGAAGCCAGAGATCCCGACCCCTCCCCGATCCATCCCCAGCGAGGCGGCGCCGAGAGGTCTCACAGAGCAGGCGAGGCAGGCTCGACCTACCTTCGGCCCTGCCAGCGGGCACTCGGGTAAAGGCGCCCCCCCTTGCTACCGGCACCTCCCTGGCCCCCAATCGCATCCCGGCAGCGGCAGCCCCGTCCGCACTCACCGGCCGTCCTCCGCGCAGCTTCCAGTACCCAAAATGGCGACCGCCGCACCACCTCACAGCGCGGAAGGATCCGGGGGGCCGGCCTCCTCACACCGCAACCGGGACAGGACCGATCCGCTGCAACAGCTGCACCACAACACGGTCCGAGGTACCGCCCCACCAGAGTTGGTGTCCTGAAGGAGGAGAGACAGTGGCGCGGCGCCGGAGAGTGGCGAGGAGGCATTAAATGTTCCAGCGGAGCGATCCACCTCTACCGAGTGCGTGAGTACGTCAGCCAATAGGTGCCCGCCGGTGCCCGCCCCCGGTGTGGAGGTTCCGTCGGCAGTTCCCGTGGCCACGGGCCCCGCCTCCACGGAATGGAAGCGTCTCGGCTGAAGGCTCTGTGCAGGTCGCAGGCGGGCGGAGGACTCTCCGATTCCCTAAGGGCTAGGCGACGGTTGTGGCTCCGTGAGGGAGGGTCGAGCCAAGGCTGAGGCGGGTCCTGGTGCCTGCAGTTCTGCCGCCGCGGGTGTCGGTGCGACGCAGCCCCGAGAGTAAGCTGGCCCGGGGCGGTTTGCTGAGGAGGGAGAACTCCACTGCAGAGACGCGGCACGCCGCGGGGCGGTTCGGTTCCAGGCAGGTGCTTGAGCTCACACTTCGGCGGCTTTTGGATGAATCGTAACCCGTAGCTCTTGCTTTTGGAGGGCACGAGACTCCACAGCTCGGGTGGAGCGGGGCAGCCGCTTCCCGCCCCGGGCGAGAAGAGAGGCAGCGGCCAACTACGGGGCCGGGACTTGCGAGACCCGCAACCGGTGCGAATGACCCCTCGCGGGCTGCGGGAGACTGCGGGCTGGGACGGATCCATGAACAACAGGTGAGATGCTTCGGGGAATGAAGCACGGCCCTGGGGTGCGGCACGGCCCCTGCCCGCCGGCACGGAGCTGCCCGCACCGGGCCGAGCTCCCCGTGCCAGCGCGTGCCCGCGCCGCGCGCTCTGGCGGCGCCGCCATCTTGCCCGTCTGTCTGTCCGGCGGCCCTTTGTCTGTCTGCGGCTCCCGGCGCCTGCAGCGGGACCGGGTAAGGCGGGACGGACCGGGGCCGGGGCGGCCCCACCGTGACACCCAGGGTCGGTCCCTCTGCCTGCGGGGCCGGGACGGGCCTTCCGTCTGTCATGGCTGAGAGAGTGGTCCCCGGATCGTATGTCGGAACCCTGGGCAGGGTTCCTCCGGCCGTGCCTCTGCCAGGGCAGCGGCATCCGTGTGTCCGCCTGCGGGCTGTATCCTTCCTGCCTCCTCGTGTATGCTGTTTTGACAGCTGGTTCCTTCTGTCGGGGGACTGGTGGGATCCCTGTGTCTGTCTGTCTGAGAAGGCTTACAGAATCCCTGTGTCTTAGGAGGCTGTTGGGTGTCCTGTGTCTGGCTGGGGGCAAATGGTTTCAGATTCTCCTTTTGTCAGTCTGTCCGAGGGGACTGTTGGGATTTATCCCTTCCTCTGCTCATCTGAGGACGGGGCCATGTTTCCCCCTTTGTATGGTTTGAGGGGGTCGGTGTGTCCCCGCCTGTGAGGGACAGGAGCAGCGCATCCCCGTCCCGACACCCAGGTGACGACTTGGGGTGTGTGCCCAAGTGCCTGCACCCAGGCCTGCCTGCTCAGGGAAGGTGCAGCAGCCCCTGTTCCTGCCTCCTGCACCTGCCCGCAGAACGGTGAGGTCAGTCCGTCCGAGAGGCGGCTGTCTGAGATGGGTCTTGTCCCCGGGTTGGCTGCTGCTGCCGTGTCTGGAGCTGTGACCGCAGGGCTGCCGGCTCCCTTGTCTGCCTTCTGCAAACGGTGAGGCTTTGTGTGCTCTGTCTCTGTCTGGATGTGAAGCCAGAAGTGGGGCAGGGTCTGCAGGTTTGATAAGGCTCGTGCCCTGTCGGCTGTGGGAGTGCACTGAAGGGAGAAGGGTGTTTGGGATGAGAGTGCAGTCGCTCTTGAAGTGGGCAGTCTTAGCTTTTTGTATGCTGGGGACAGGTTTGCTTATAACTTTGCTTGAGAACTGAGTGGGACTGTCCATACACGGTGATTTGTGAAATGCTTGTGAATCGTATTGTATGCTGGCACTGAAAATGGCTGTGGTGATGTAGAACAAGTCCTGTAGGCAGAAGGGTGGGGAATGACCTGAGGAGCCAGCTGTGTTTGGCCAGAGGCTCAGAAGGTTCCAGTGGTGTGCGTGACAGGCTCTTCTCTTCTCAGGTGAGCCCTCTGCTGAGGGAAGGAACAGTCTGTGCTCCCAGGTCAGGGAAACATGTCCCGTCGGAAACAGACCACTCCTAACAAAGTTCACTGTGAGTATTATGTGAAACAGCGTTGTGGGATCCTTGCCCTAGCTATATTGCTGTGGAGTGAGATGGGGAGGAGGGGAATGATGACAAGGTACAGTTTGTGGGGGAATGATGGTTGCTCACTTTTCATCTCAGGGATTGTAAGAAACTGAGCTTTATGCATCAGGAGAGCTGGCTGTGTCCTGGCATGGCAGGGATAGACTCGAACAAATAGGTAGTGCTGTAAATTGTAGGTTGTGTATGTGCAGGGGCTGTAGCTGTGCCTTGCATTCATACTGTCACAAGTGCAAATTAGTATACTAAGAAATGCGACTTGAGGGCCCTGGCCCATCTTGGATAGCAAAGGAAGTTCTAGGCCAAAGTGTAGCAGAAAGCCAGGAATTCCTGGGTTCTGATCTTTGCCCTGCCACCAGACTCAACTGACTGACCTCAGACACATTCCTTGAGCTCACTCTACCTCAGCTTCCTACCAGATAATGTAAGTAAATGTAAGTAAAGCCATTCCTGCAGGGAATGGGCAGTGGCCAAGTAATTTACTGGACAGATAAATGCTATCTGTCAGCTTATTTTTGAGCTGAGCTGATAGGACAGATCTCTGTTTCTCCAGCACTGCCAAGCCCCTGGCAGTTGAAGAGCTGAAGATGCTGTACGTCAGCACTTCTTGTGGGCAGGCTACAGAGAGCTGTTAGTGGAGCTGGAGATGCGTATGGATGTTTGGCTCAAAGGGGAAACTGCACATATATGGCTTTTGTTTGACTGGTTGCAGCTGAGGAACGCTGGGGAACTAAAGGTATGCCCTTGTTCATATCCAGCTGTGTTGCTAGAGACACGGTTAGAATTTGGGCTGGAATGAGGAAAACAAATTCCTGCTTCTGTAGATCTGTGAAAGCATCAAGGCTGATGAGAGCACCCTAGGTATTGCTAAGCTTAGTAGCTGCAAGGGGTATGGGACAGAGAGTTGAATGCTGCAGCCCTAACACTGCCTCACTTTGCTGATGCTGCTGGCTTGCATGTCTCTGCCTGTTTGTGTTGCCTTTCCATATGGGTATGGAAACAGGAATCTATGCTTGCTATTCTCTGTACTAGGGGAAAATACACTGAGATATAGCCTAACACTTTGTACACTCAGTGAGTGTGCTGGGGAAATTTATCTTTGCTGATAGCCCCATTGGCTGCTAGAGCCAGGCGTGGGAGAGCTGACAAAGCTTTCCTTGGTGGCCATCTGAGAGTCTGGGGCGTAGCTTTTGGCATCTGCACTGACTTGTGCTCCTATTCCTGCTTCTGGTACTGGGTTCCACATGGGCAGAGTGTAGCTTTGATTTGCCTGATAGCATTTTAATGGCTTTGAAATTGTCTCCCTTTGAGAAATATGATTTGTCCCGTGCTTTGTCCTGTGATGCCAGTATCATATCTTTTGCCACACACTTTTGCTTCTGAAAGTGCCCAGAGATTACTCCTGGCGTTTAGATCAGACTTAAGTAAGGCATGCATTTACACTGTCTCCCCTGGTGTAGAGTTGTGGTCTCTCATGTGTGGAAACCAAGGGTATTAAGCTCTACTGGTGCAAGTAGAGTTTCCATGAATGTTTAGGTGGGCAGTTTTCTGCACCTCACATGAGAAAACTCATGCAATTTCCTGCGTAAGGGTGATGTTCTTCAGAAGCTTGAACTATTATATACAAAGCTATACGTATGATGGAGTTCAGTTGTACACTATTTTCATGGTGAGCAGCAGCTGTTTTTTATCTGCAGTACAAGTGGTTGTACCTCCAGTGTTGGTCTTGGGGGAAGCTATCTGACAAACATGCTACCAGTGGGCATGATGTTGAGGTTGGCGTCTGGTATGCCATAGAGGGGAGTTCTGGGACCTGTTCATCTCCTTTACATGCAGTATATTGCTACAAAGCAACTATTCAACAGGAGCCATCAGAAGCAGTAAGTAGGACCACAAGAAAATACAGGGACCGAAGGATACAAGAAACATATCAATGGTGACGTCTCCAGCTTGGGATGGGAAATCTTGCCTGTCTTATGATGAACGCCATTGGGACTTTTCTGTCTACCTAGCCGGCTGTGTATCTGGAGGGCCCAGAAATGCCATGCAGTGCACTCACGAGGAAAATCGCAAAGAGCATCAGCTCCACGAACTGGGTGAGCCAGCAGAATGAGGAGTCAGGCTGAGACATAGCAGACACGTTACTGAGACTTCTTCACAGGGACTGAAGTGGTTGGGAGGAAAGGAGTAAAAGGGACAGCAGGTATGCAGCTTTTTGTGCAGTTGTCTGCAGCTGGGGTCTGATTTGGCAGGCTATGGGGCTGGGGAAGTACTTTTGGATTTGCATAAGTACCACTGTGAGTATCTAACTGGACAAATCTGTGGGAGGACGGTGCCTACTTCCTTCTTGCATGACTACTCCATGTTAGCTTCTTTCTTGGATTCACAAGGGCAAGTGGCAGCTGCAGATCTCTCTCGGCTTGCTTGGTGCCATCTCTTTCCAGGGTTATTTTCCAGGTTTGGCATGGCCCCCATTTAACCTTGTTCTCACAACAGCATGGTTTGCTGTCCTTGCTTAACATACGATCATTCTGTTTAGCATGCAGATTGACCAGCTGGGAAGTTGTGTGGTTATGAAACAGTTTTAAATGGAAATTAAAAATGTGTGAGGAAATTCAAAATAATACAGAAACAATGATAAAAATTATCACAAAAGTCTCCTGGTGCCTGATGGCCAGTCCTTCTACAGTATTAATTGAAGTCATTACTGCTTTGGCATGGCTGCAGCACACAATTGGTTCTTAATAATTTAATTTTATTTTGCCACATGGTGCATGAAAAGCACACCTGGCAAATAGTAATACTGGAATAGATGCAGTGCATTGCTCATTCCATATTGAACTGAAAACTACAATTAACTGAATTGTTCCTGTGAAGATACCTTAATTGACTCATTTTGATCTTTATTTTCTCCCAGAGTCTGAAGTATAAAGTACAGAATCTGTCTAAGCCATTCATCTAATCTTGTGCTCAAACTCATGCAGTGCTGTGCTTTCATTCCATCAATTATGCTGCTCTTCTGCTTGCCAAAAATTTGCTGCAGGTGTTAGTGTGCACTTTTATTTCTGTCCCTGCTGTCCCATGGGCTGTTCTGTCTATTGCTTGTACCCCTTGCAATTGATGTGTATTTTAGAACTCTTGAGAACAGGTTTTGTCAGAGCTAGGAAATGGGAATTAATCTGAATATTTATCCTGGTACAAATATCCTATTAATCTTCTGTTTCCTTTCCTCTCCCTCTGACACGCACACATTCTGGGCTCTTCAGTGTTCCTTGAATTCTGCTGTCTATAATATTCCCAGTTTGAAGAGAAAGTGTCTTGCAAGAAATAGCACCCACCATTCGAACCCGAGCAGAAATGTTACTTGCATCAAAATCCTTTGTTCTTAAAGGGCTCTGTGGGCTGCTGTTGTTAACTTTTTCAATTGTGTTGTTTTTCATTTCAGTAACCACTACAGCAGTGTGGACAACCCAAAATAGAGATGTGGCAGGTGGACTAGATCCACAGTGGTGAAAACACTTTCAAATTTCAGGTCCAGGAAAGGAACACAGAAGACCTACATGAACAGGGACTTTAAACTGATGTATGAGGAGGGAATAAAGAGGCTCATCTGAGAGACCTTTCTGTTTAGGAAGGAAGACAGGGGAATGATGCAGTTTCTTTTTATTTTGTTTTATGGATTTTGGTGTGTGGGTTATTTGTTTGTGTGTTTGTTTTCCAGAATACCTGAGAGTTATCCTGCATTCATAGAGTTCAAGAAGGGAAGGGCTCAGGAAAAATATCATTTCTGGCTACAAAGTTGATACAGCACCAGATCCTAGCAGTCCTAACATCCCTGTTGCACAGTTTCACAGGGTTGCCCCCTACCTGCACAGCTGCTCACCTGGCTTCCCACTCATTTACAAGAGTATGGAGAGAACTGGAATGCAAAGCAGAGGCATTTTTATGATCTTTTATTGTCCTACATTTCTAGCTGCTTGTAAAACAAATACAGTCACTTGTTTTGGTGTTGTGGTCAGGCTGCAGCCATTTTTGTATTTAATAAAGAAACTTCGGCAGAAGAGTGTGAGTTCACTATTGAGCATAACATCCTTTACTGATAGTAGTGACTGTAAAACTGTCACCTGTCTTACTCCCTTTCCAAATGAATAGAAGCGGACTCAAAGTGGGGTGGAGGTGGGGGTGTTTCTGTGTGTGAGCATGTGTGTGCAGAAACAAGTGTAACTCCATACTACCAAATATTAGTCCATCAGTAGATGAACACGACAGTGTTCCCTAAGTTCTTTTGGAGACAATTTAACACATAAGAAATTCTGTATCAGTTAAAGATAGCATTTTTAAAAGCTTGTCTTTCCCAGTCCCATGCGCCTTTTTTAGATACAGGCTACTGGAGAATGCACAAGATGTCATCTGCTAACAGCACTGGTTTGGTTAACAATTTGCATTTCTGGCTGTGAGCTGACAGTTCTCCGCACTGTGCTGAATCAATGCTAACTTGGTTCTGGGTATGTTGTACAGAAAGGCCACTAGCAGACACCATCGCTCTCAGTTGTTGTGGTTGATGCTAGTGCTACTGACAGGAGGAGTTTCCTTCTCAGCTGCATTATGTAAAGATCACACCTTTTCAAATCCTGCAGGCTGTCTGCATAATCTGTGTATCTGAGCAGGAACCTGCTGCTGTAGTACTCCAGGCTGCTGCTCAGTGGAAATGTAAGCCATCTGGGAGGGGAAACGGGAAGAAGACAAGCACCTACCTACTTCCACTGGGACTTACAGTGGTGTTTGGGAATCCTGTTCTGTAACTCTGCCACAGGTTGCATGTCTCCCACCATTGTTTTACGTCTATCCTGTGCTGGACAGGTTTCCTCATTCACCATACTTTCCTTTGTCTTGCAATACTTTTTTAGACTCTGCTGTTTAGCTTTTGTCCTGGTAGTTGGTGCATATCTGCTTCTCGGAGAGGCACTGTAATTCTGTAATGTGTGCTGTTCATACAGTCTTCATCTCGGTCCCACCAGTGTGTGGTTTTGGTCCAAAACTAAAAGCAGCACTACAGGCAATGAAAACTGTTCAGTGTTGGAGTGGCTTCTGACGGGGGTACAGGTGTCACAGCAGTCATGACAGTACCTGCTACTTTTGGTGACAAATACACTCTGAGTACTCCTCAGCACTTCTCATTAGCCCACGTGGATTGTGTTCTCGAGTCTTCTCCACAAAAACCTCTCTCACATTTCTGAAACAGAACAATAAATGCCTTCAAATGCCTTTGGGGGCATGTTGGGTATTAAAACTCCTCTCCCACAGTCTCCGTGAAACTTCTGAAAGTCTTTGAAATCTTCCTTAAATTACTGCTTTTTAAAGCACTGTCGGAAACTGGGAGGTAAGCACCAGAAAGGCAGTGTAAGTATGAACTCAGGGCAAAGCTGGCTAAACAGGTTAGCATGTAGGAATGTATCTGTGCTTGTAACAGGGCTGGTGCTGTCTTCATGGGTTAAGAATGCAGTGCCCTGGTTATGCTGTTGTCAGTTGCGGCCCTATACTAAAAGGTACAATTTTCTTCTGAAAGCTATGTTTCGGTTTTGCTTTTAGGTGAAAAATGCACTGAATCTTCGTTAGCATTTTTGCATTTATGTTTTGAGTGATTCTTGAAAACTTAGACATCAGTTGATAGATTTAACCCAAAGCTGGCCTGCTGGGAATACAGCATCTTGCCCCAAGCACTCCCAGCTCATCCGCTGAAGGGTAAATCAGGACCAGAATTGAAACAAAGATATTTGATTAAATATGCAAATTAATTGTTGCCTTTTATAGTTATTCTTTGGAACCAGAAGTTCTCCTTAGAAGAGAACACTGTAGGAGGTTTTCTTTCAGAGAGGCACAAATAATTGCTTCTTTCAATTTGTTTGCCATCTCTTAATTGAGTTGAAGTAGTAGTGATCAGTGTCTTTCAACGGACTGTAAGCTCTCCTGACCCAGCATCTCAGCTCCCTGTGTTCATTCCCGTAGTTTCCTGTTTTGAGCATTGAAGTACCACTGAGGTTTGTTTTAGCTAGAGCCATTCCTGGGCAAGATATGGTGGTGAAGCAAGTTACCTGTCACGTAAGCAGGACAATACCAGCTCTGGGCACAAACACCTTCCTGAAGGGCCGCGTGCCCTCAATCCTGGCACAGAGGGTGGTGACAGAACATGACAAGGACAAGCCTTGGTCTTGATAGCACTGTGGAGGGCAGGTGAGGTGTCAGGAACGCAGGGAGGTACGGGTTTTGAGCAAGTTGCATGTTATAGCAGGGAATAGGACTTCATGATTTCCAAAGCCATATAGCACTGTGCCTGATCTGGTATGTTGTCATAATCCCCCAGTGCCTTCCCTTCCACCCAGAGCTGTGCTGTAGTTCTACTGGGAGATAGCTTGGTAACAGAGAAAGCCACCTGGCTGTGTACAGCAGATAGATGGGATCTCACAGGGGGTTTGTGGCTGGAGTCGTATATAAACTGTGCAGAGTGCAGCCCAATGCTGGACGTTTCTGCTAGTGAGATTGTTCTACACACAGGGGCTGGACTCACCTCAGCGGGTACAAGAGGCTGGTGTTGCAGGGTAGGCAAGCAGAGAGGTACTTAAATGCTTTCTGAGAGGTGACTTCAGAGGTGCTGCACAGTGCAGGTGAGCAGCCCCATACGTATTCTGGTTTTGGCAAGCCTTGGTGGTGGAAGCAAGACAGTGGCATCAGTCTGACTCTCTGTCCTTGTGGCTGCCAGGGGAGCAAGTCTTTGCAGGGCTGGAGGAGCAAGCCCGACAAGCCATGATGAAAACCAACTTTCCTGGAGCTCTTGGTGACCAAAGGCCAGCCATTTGTCAACTGCAAGACCCTGACTCCAGCAGCAGTGAGTTCTGCCCCTTCCAGTAATGGCAAGGTAGTGGACTGGGAACCCTGTGACAAGGGGCTAGGTGCTGCACAGCTTGTGGGGGTCCTCTGAGGGCCATCTTACCCATCTCCTCTGGGTTAGCCCTTGGCTCCTGTGCAGGATTGTCTGCATACAGACAAAGTAGGGCTGCTCCCTACAGGAATGCAAGCCCAGAGCCAAGGACCTCCGTCTCCCAGGGTGGGCAGTGACCTCACCACCAGGATGCAGTCCCAGTTCAGCAGAGCAGGATGGTAACAAGAGGAGGTACAGAGGCAGCCCAAGTGATAGTCAAGCAAGGCAGGGTAACAGGACATGTCATCTGAGCACCTCAGTCCTTAAGGTGCACCAGCCTGAGCTTAAACAGAGCCCTTGGTCTGAGGGGTGGGTAGAGGCCACAGGTAATCTTAGGACAGTTAAGGCTTATGAGTGCTCTCAGGGTCCTGACATTTGGAATTACTGTTCTGCATGTTCTAGGTAGCAGTGATGATGAGGAAACCACACAGGATGAAGTTTCTTCACATACCTCTGAGGAGGATGGCTCAGTGGTGAAAGTAAAGAAAGAGTTAGAGAATGCCGAACAACCTGTGGCTGGTGCCCCACTGATGGGAGAAAATGAGGCAAGTGTGTACTGGTGCTGCACTCACCTGGGCCTCCCAGGGGTGAGACAGGTACCATCTAAACACCTTCTCTCCCCATTGTTTCTTATCTTTTTCTCCCTCCCACTTCCTCCAAACACCTCCTGACAGGAGGGGAAAGCGTATGAAGAGTTCTTGGGCTGCCAGGAGCAGGAGATAGCCTGCACAAACCATGGTTCTCCTGGCTGGCCAAGAGGATTGTGCAGAGTATGCCCCCTTCTTTAAGTCCTTGTGCCTTTCTATGACTGACTTCCCCTCCCTTCTGCTACGGAGCAGGTCTTGCCTACCAGAACCACTGTGCTGGAAAAGCCTGGGTGTGCGCGGAGGCCTTGAGGCCTTTGCCTGTTCTGCAGACACCAGAGTTTTGCTCAGAGGCTAAAGTAATTTTCAGAATGCAACAACATGAACCAGCCCCAGTGGGACTGGGCACACAACCCTTGGTCTGGCCAAGGCCTGCCTGGTGGTACTGACCAGATACTAAGGGAAGGTGGTGTGTCTGCCTTACACCAGGGTGGCTTTTCTTCCGTGTAGGTGCCTGAGAGTTTGAATGCTGATCCTATGCTGGGACTGTCACAGTGCCCCCTCTGCCATCTGGAGTGTGGAGGCAGAGAGCAGCTCATCACTCATGTGTACCAGGTAAGGGATATCTCTGGCCTTAAGCCCCAAATTCAGCAACAACCCAAACCAGAGGGTGGCTTTGTTCTGGTCTTTGCAGTCTCAGAAATGAGCTTATAGCTAGGATGTGACTGAGGTTTACAGCAGTAGACTGTCCAGGGGGTGTCCTGGGGAAAGAATCAGCAGGGCACCAGTCTGTAGATCTGAAAACACAACTCGAGCCCAAGGCAGTCTCTGCAAGTAGCTGCAGGCTTGGACCAGGCAGTCCTTCAGATTAAACATGGAGGCAATTTTTACATTATTCAGTGAGATAAGAAACCTTCCTCGTAATCAGTCAGTTCTGTATTTTGTATCTTTATCCCAGTTCCTACCCATGAAAACAGCTGTTCTTCCTCTAAAATTATTCCAGTATTGCAGGAAAACCATGCTGGAATCTCACAGGTTTTATTGTCAGTGCTCTCTTCACAGCACATCGAAGTCTGTAAAAGGAGGAATGAAGCAGAACTGGCCACTTACCTGCACAAGGTGACTGCCTCCATCTAAGTGCTTCCTCACCAGTGTCGTTCCTATTGTTAGTTCAGCCATGCTTTATGCAGCAATGGCAGCTTCTCAGATGCATTTCTGAAAACAAGGATCTTGCAATCCAAGTGTTTTGGCCTTAATTGTTTCTCTTGTATCAGAGTGGAGCTGTAGAAAGGTTTCCTCCTTGCTGTTTGATCTGTGACACCCTCGGTGTCTCGAGCTTAGTCTAGGAGCTGTCTGACAGAGGTTTAGTGGTAAAGTGTTCCCATTCCAAGAGGCTGAGCTGACTGGTTTGCCGTATCTGCTGAGCCTGTCTCAGACTGGGCAGTTGGTAACTCGTTGTTTCACAGCACAGTGCGGCAGTGGTGAGCGCCAAGAGCTACATGTGCCCTGTATGCGGCAGAGCCCTCAGCTCACCAGGATCCCTCGGGCGACATCTCCTGATCCACTCAGAGGACCAGCTGTCCAACTGTGCTGTGTGTGGGGCACGCTTCACCAGCCACGCCACGTTCAACAGGTCAGGGTCACCCTGAGTGGGGAAGGGGCTAGAGTACCCACAGTAGGGATTAGGTGCCTTAAATGGCACAGAAGTCATGGCTCTGGACCTACTGAACACTCCCAATGAGTGAGATTCCCTTGATCCCTTCCTGATCCCTTCCTGCCTGCAGCTCTGCATCGCCTGCAAAGACCTCCCTGGGCTGTGCTGCTGAAAGGGTGTTCCTTTGCTCTGTGAAGAACTAGAACTGTGCAAAAAGCACTGGGGTCTCCAGTCACTGGAGAACAACCAACTGCTTCCTTTGCCACTTCCATCAGAGTGGGTCTGTACTGCCCGGGTGGGTTGATCATTTCCAGAGCAGGACTACAGGCAGAAACCAAAATATTCTTGTCCTGCCTGGAGGAAGATTAACCACTGACCAGTGGAATAGGACTGGTCAGTCCTATAGAATAGAAAAGAGAAATCTAGAGATGATGGGGAGGAGCAACTTGCTGCCTAATACCTACTCTTGCACTCTGACAATCCAGATAACCTGCTTCCGACCCCTAGATATGACATTGCTTCATTTTAGATGCTCCCACGTCTGTGGGCAGGAATGGTTTAGCAGAGGCCTCTGCTGCAGGCTGTAGGAAGCTGCCTGGGCAGCCTGAGGTGGGGATGCTCCTGTTAGCACCGAGTTTCTGACTCTTCTCTTTCTGCTTTCCAGTGCAAAGCTGCCGGAGATGCTCAACGCTGACCGACTGCCAGCTCCACAGAGCCAGGGCCCCTCCAGTGCTGAAGGGAAGGACGTTGCCTTTCACCCCACTGTGTACCCTGCAGCCATCCTGCTGGTGTGCAACAACTGCGCAGCATACCGCAGGCTGCTGGAGGCGCAGGCGCCCGGTGTGCGCAAGTGGGCTCTGCGGCGGCAGAACGAGCCCCTGGAGGTGCGGCTGCAGCGGCTGGAGCGTGAGCGCACGGCCAAGAAGAGCCGGCGGGACAACGAGACGCCTGAAGAGCGGGAAGTGAGACGCATGCGGGATCGGGAAGCCAAGCGCCTGCAGCGCATGCAGGAGACGGATGAGCAGCGGGCACGGCGGCTGCAGAGGGACCGGGAAGCCATGAGACTGAAACGCGCCAATGAGACCCCAGAGAAACGCCAGGCCCGGCTCATCCGGGAGCGTGAGGCCAAGAGGCTCAAGCGGCGCCTGGAGAAAATGGACATGATGCTCCGGGCACAGTTTGGCCAAGACCCCTCTGCCATGGCTGCTTTGGCAGCTGAAATGAACTTCTTCCAGCTACCAGTGAGCAGTGTGGAGCTGGAGAGCCAGCTGCTGGGCAAAATGACCTTTGAGGAGCAGAGCAACAGTGCGCTGCATTAAGCTACAGCCAAGGACCATGCCACTTCTGCTGTATGGGCACACATTGGTAGCTTCTCCTCTCAGGAGACTGCTGTGTGTCCCTGACTAACGCCCTGACAGACAGTTCTGGCTTTCTCCTGAGCACAGGAGGGGAACAGCTGAGGGGTGCCTGCCAACGTATCCCTGGTTGAAGCAGATTCTGAGGATACACTCTGCTCTGCAGACCAAGTCACTGCTTGTGAACAGAAGGAAAATAAATTAATGCTCATGTTTATTTAGCTCCCTTCTTTACCTTTTGTGCTTTGTCCTGTTCTTGCACCCTTGCCCCATTAAATGGGTTTGGGCTGCTGCAGTTCTTGCAGTTCTGCTGTAGGTGAAAGCCTACAAAGTGTGAATTACAGAGCTGAGGACTTTGGTAGTCGACAACTCCTCCACAAGTAAATTCCTTGCAGTTTGTGCCCATAAAGACAAGGCAAAGGAGGATGTTGTCTCCCTGGAAATGGCTGTGCACACCCTTTTTCTTAACACTATCATTATGTGCCTTTTTGCAGTATCATTCATGGAAAAACTAAGAGGAAACTAAGTTCCTGTTCTAAGATACCCCATATAAATGCTAACAGAAAGGTTGACTGAGGTAAGCAAACAAATTTGCTGGTTTACTCCCAAGTTCATTTTCACTTAAACAGCATTTCAGGTTTGCAAGTGAAAGAGTTGATGGAATGGTAAACAGTAAGGGTAAGTCAGTACTCTGGTACTGTATGGATTTATTTTCCCCTTTATTCAGCAGTGGTGAGGCCACACCTGAGTGCTGTGTCCAGTACCGGGCTGTACAGTGCAAGAGAGGCACAGATGTACCAGAGTCCAGCAAAGGGCCACTAAGAGGGTTAACTGGACCGTCTCCTATGAGGAAACGCTGAGAGCTGGGCCTGTTTAGCCCAGAGAAGAGTAGTCTTGATTTTGTCAATGTGCATGAATACCCAAGGGGAACATATGAAGAAAATGGAGCCAGGCTGCCTTCAGTGATGCCCAGGGACAGGACAAGAGGTGATGGGCACAAACTGAAGCACAGGAAGTTCCCTCTGAACATCAGGAAACACTTTTCACTGCCTAGGGAAGTTGTGGAATCTCCCAGCTTGGAGATGCTCCAGAGTCACTATTCTGGGCAGCTGGATGTAGGTAGCCCTGCTGGAGCAGGGGTTGAGCTGGATGAACCTCCAGAGGTCCATTCCCACCACAACTCTTCTGTGATTTCATAGTAAGCTGAGCTTGTTCAACCAGTTCAGTACAGTCAGATGTATTGATACACAGCCCATATAGGACCATGGACCACACTCAGGTTATTAATTCTCACAGTGACCAATAGTGACTTTCAGTGGTCACTGTAGGTAACACTGTGGGGTGAGTGGGGAACCACTGGCAAGAAGAAACACACGGGTCAAAAGTTGCTTTTGCTCCCACACTCAGCAGAGAAACTACTGTGAGGAATGTGGAAAAGCAGTGAGCTAGGGAGGAGCCATGGAAAGCTCAGTAACCAAGTCTGGAAAAACCTGCTGGATGGCAGGGAATGTAAGCCATTTATGTCATTCATCACATACAACTGTCATCTGTGAGCTCTGGGAAAACACCAGATCTGGAAAGGATCTGTTCAGATCCTTTGTTCTCTGAGCTGATCTTTCACTTCTGAGCTCTGTCTGTTTTCATGCTCAAACGGATAGAGGTTGCTTCTCACAGTGTTTGCTGGTGCTGTATCTGTATTGCTTGGCCAGCACACACGCAGCTTCACTGCTGCCTGCAGCTGGGACCCCCCCTGCAGTGTCACCGGCACCTGATCATTATTCCAAGGGGTTCAAGAAAAAACACATAAATCCAGAAGTATCTCAGCACAGAATTATGGCTGTAATCCATCTGTCAGGCAGCCTGTACTCTGCCCTCATCACAATCTCCAGATCACTGTGTAAGACCAGAGAAGCCACATCCTCATGATCACTAATGCTACAGATGAGCAAGAAGTCTCAGACACCAAAGGAAAAGCTATTGGTTTATATATAGATATATATATATAGATATATACTGTGTTTACAGAGTCAACAAGTTAAATGCAATATTCATAAGAGCATTAACAATAAAAATACAATCTGTGTGTAGCCAAGTACAGACTTAAAATGGTAAAACAGGAAAAAGGATCTCACCAAAAGTACAAATATACAGTACAAATTGATTTATTTAAAACAGTTACAAAAAAAGCACAACAAAATAGAGATTATCCTTATAATTAATGCTTTGTTAAAGATCAGGTAGAGGAGAGGGGCAGGAGCAAGGTTGGAGTGGAGCACCTGACTAGTTCTAAGGCTTTAGATACAATGCAGTCGGTTACATGTTAATACAGCCATAACATAACTGGGATTATAGTTGAGGGATCAGCACTTATCTACAAAGACCTCCCTGCCTCGGCAGCCCAGCCCCTTCCCCAGGGCCACATCCCTGCTCTGCTTTGCTGGGGCAGACCCTCCCTGGTGCCTTGGAACAACCAGAGCACCCACTGTGTGCTTGCAAGGGGCCCACAGGAGGGAGCCTAGAAGGATGTTAGGGGCAAGTCCTGTCCTCCATGGACAGATGTGAAGATCATGGAAGGGCCTTGACCATCAGCATTTTAATTCATACATGAAACACACCCTGGACCAAAACTGTACAGAGTGAGCATTCGGAGCCATCTTGGCAGGTTCTGCAAGGTTTCAGGCCCTATGACAGCCTGAAAGACAACGAGCAGTTGTGAGTGGCACTGGGGAAAGGCACGTGTGCTGGTGTGGGCAGGAACTAGTATGTGGGCTACTCAAGCTGCTGTCATTTCTGTTACGGTATTTTCTGATTAACAAGGGGTGTTAGTTCTCTACTGGGCAAAGTGACTTCAAGTGTGAGGTGGGAACCGGGGGACAGGGATACTTAATGTGAAAAGTGCATTATACTTGTGCTCCTGCTGGAAAGGGGAGGCAGAGGGGCCCCTGCAGCTTTCCTTCTTTCCAGGCAGAGCTTCCTCTGCATAGTCTGCTTGTGATGAGTGCTTGTTTCAAGCCTCGTGTTCCTGGAGCTGCAGTGATGCAGAGCCTAGAACAAGGCCCAGCCTCTGCTGGACAGTGGGCCCCAGGAGTGACTTGAGAGATGGGACAGATGGATACAGACACCCATTATTGCATCCTACAGACTCCTGCCATGGAATGTGAGCTGGGTAAGGCCAGGAGGCCTCTTCCTCAGCTCTCTCTCCTTCACAATAGCAGCAGGAAAACAGTATATTTCTCCGAGAAGCCTATCACATCTCCGCCAGCAGAAAGGCCCAGATAACCATCTCATTCCACAATGTTTTCCTGGCTTTACCTCCTCCATTCCCTGTAAACCTAAAAAATAAAAGCCTCCTCCATGGGCTCATTTATAGCATTTCTGCCTGCAGCAGCACCTGCCTCACAATCCCCTGTCTCAGGAGAGCCTCAACGCTCAGCACAACCACCACCACAGGCTGAGCAGCACAGGCCAGCCGAGCCAGGACAGATTCCAGAAATCATGGGCACTGCTAACCTGGGTCGGATGGCTGCCAGGGGCCCCTCCTGCCTACCACCTCTGGGGCAAGGAGTGGTGCCCAGATCCCTCATGTCACTGCCCTGCCATGAGATGTGCCCCAGACCACTGCCTCCATAGGAGAGCTGGCAGCAGTGCACAGCAGTGGGACTGACAGGGAGTCTGCGTAGAAGCACCGAGGTCAAATTCACCCTGGCCCGTTTCACATTGCTCAGACCATGCTCAACAGATGAGCAGCAATCCAAAGTCCAGGCCAATGGCCAGGTAAACACTGGAGCAAGCACCTTCACAGCCCTTCAGCTGCCTACAGTACAAAGCTATTTTAGCCACACAGCATCTTGCCTCATGCACCAGTGCCTGCCCTTTCAGACCACTGTTCAGTGCTGCTGAGATCTAGAAGTAGTTACAGTAGTTACATGAGTAACTGATCTAGGAGTAATTACATGAGACAGCGCAGGCTCTCCAACCCTCCCCCTGAAAGACAGAGACTCCTGTGTTCAGGGAGGCACGCGAGGGGCCCTGCACCCCTCAGCTGCTCAGGCATCCCCTCTATGCGTGCAACCAGCCTGGTTACATTCACACACTGTGCGTGTGCAAGATCCTTTTAGCTGCCTGCCACAGCTCTGAACTCCTCTCATGCACCATGCAAAGCACAGGCAAGAGAGCTCGGGCTCTTCTGCTTTTGGCCACAGACACCCTGGGTATCCTGAGCATTAAGTACTAACCAACATTAATCGAGGTCTTTGTGTAGGAGAGTCCAATGAATAGCAACTGTAAAACACACACAGGGATGAGGCTGGGCTCCTGGGCCCAGACAGTACATTTCACTGACACATGAAAACAGCATCTGTTCCCGCAGCTGCTGCGTCCAGGAAGGCAGTATCTTCACATGACAGCATCACCACGACAGCATACACTGCACATGCAGCTGATGAGATCGGAAGCAGTGTGGCATTTGGGGGAAGCTACATATGATACAGGCAGCATCCTCATCCTGAAGAAATCCCCATGACGCACAAACACTGAAGGCATGAGTAGCACATATCTCACCTAAGGCCTGAAAAGAAACTGTCCTGGTGCAGGCATTTCAAAGGCAACAGAAATTGCTAGCAATGTGCTAGGAAAACGACTGGTGGCCTGGATGAAAGGGACATTCTGACGACTCTCTAATTTGCCTGTACCCAGGCAGAGCATGCCCTTGTCACACAGTCAGCTGAAGCCAACCAATTACAGGACACATTCCTGGGGTGTGCAGAGCAGCCCTGAGACACCAGCACTGCAGCTGTGCCAAGGAGAAGGACTGACACAGAAGCTGCTCAGCAAAAGAAAGGAGCAGTGCCCTGGCAGCCAGGCAGGCCCCACGGAACATGTGAGGAGAGAAGGGAGACAGAAAACAGAATGCTGAACATCAGGAGCAGCACTACCACGCAGGAGGGACCTGCACATTGAAAGAAACCCTCTCAAAAGCCTGGTCCTAGCACAGAAATGGGCATCTTAATACAAGGAACACTTAATCCAAGTTAAGTCAGGGAAGACTCTTTTCATTAACATGATAGTCACTACTTCCTATTGTAGATAAGTAGTTAGAGCTGGTGTCATAACACACCATCAGAGAGGGCAAATTAGTGTAACTACAGGAGCCTTCATTTGAAAAGAGTGTTATTACCATAATGAGGTATTAATATACATTTGTATTAAATCTCACCATGAAAAAGACTACTCTTGATTTTGCCGTGTTGTTCTACAGAGGAACTCCGAAGTGGAGTACCAGAAAAACTAACACAAAACCACCCTAAAATGCCCCATGGTGCTGTGGTATTTTTAGAGTCCCTACATGAATCAGAGAACTGTACTTAGCAGAAACTTTGTACGTTGCCCGCACATGCACTAACACTCCTCTTTTGTCTAGAGCTTATCCAGGAAACTGCCTGCAGGGAAGAATTAGCCATCTGGAAAGTGTTCCTCTGATTTAATTACAAAATAGTCTTGGTCTCTTCAAAGGATGTTTCCATCCCTCTCTAGAGAATGTTTAATATGTTTTACTCCAGCTTTAAAAAAAACCCAACCAAAACACCAAAACCCACACAAACCCCCATCCATCCACAGGCTAAGCCTCTGCAAAAGCTGTAAGCCCAAGAGATTTTTTTTATGTTATTAAGATGGGAAGATTTCATTTGATGACAAATGATAAAATGTATTTTATAGCAGAAAACTGACCTCTCCCATCCTAACTCGTGTCCTATTCCAAGTGCTCAAGTTTCCTATTTACCTACACTCAAACCCATCCTTTTGGTCCTTCCCCTTGAATTTCTGTGATTCATTCACATCTGTACATTCCTTGCAAGAAGAAAGAACAGCTGGATTCAGTGGAAGAGACATAGAACAGAACCACCACAGAAGCATCTCTGTCCTGCCCTCAAGAGCTCCATCGGTGAACGGTCCTTTTAAAGTGCATGTGTGAAGAAAAGGGATACTGGGAGCAGAGCCCCCTAAACTCCAGTGGGGACACATTTCTCCCCATCATGAGAAAAGAGGAATAAAATCTTCAGTAATTTTATCTGCTACCTTAAGCCATGTCGCCCTCCTCATCTCTCCACCTACCCTGAATGCTTGGACCCTGCTCTGCAGGGAACCAGTTATTTAGGGAGGTGTGAGAAAGCCCCAGCCTCCAGAACACTCTCATCTCAAGCTCATGAGCACATCCCTGGTCTCTACCCCATTTAGCCTGCTGCTGCTCCCTGAGGCACTGGAGCCCTCTTGATTCCCCAAGAGGAACTGGTCAGCCACTCAACTGGAATAAATCCAGTCCTGCAGGGCAGAAAGCAGCCTTGCTGGTGAACCTGCCACAGTCTGTGCAATTTCTCCATCCAGCTGTGAGGCTCACCTACAGGGGATGCCCTAGCTCACAGCCTCCAAGGGATCACTTCCCTGCATTAGAACGCCCTTCAATAGACAGCTTGACCTCCTGGGGAATGAAAGAGGGACGGAGCAGAGAGGGCCGCAGCTCCTCTGCCTGCACACTGTATCTTTGGAAGGCTGGGGCTGTCCAGCTGTGCTGACTGCTGGTCTCAGGCTGAGAGAGTTCCGCATGAGAGCTCTGGGCTGCGCTGTTCCTATCTGTGTGGCTCTTTCTTTCAGCAGCTCTGTCAGACGGTTCTCTGGACCCCTGAGCCATTCTTTCAGCTGTCTCTCTAGTAGATAGCAACTGATCTGTGGGAGTGTAGTTAGCCTGAGAAGTGGAGTTGCCATTCATGCTCTGTAAACTGATTGATATACACACATCGCCCACCTGCAGCCTGTGACAGGGCAAAGCAAAGAGCTGAGCAGTTCGCCCTGGGCTACAGGAGGACCAGCCCTGGCCATACACAAAGAAGGGATGCTCTGGGGGCACATCAATGCTCACTTTACTTTGTTGCTCCCCAACCACAAAATGCAGTGCAACTAGCCCAGGCCACTGGCTTTCCTGAATATCCACCACGGTGCTGGAGTCGATCTTCAGGCCCCCGCTCACCTCTGCACTGCGAACAAAGTCTTGAGTCTGCAGGTCCTCTACCCGCTTCAGCTCTCCTGTAGCCAGCTGGATGATGGCTCCTTTCATGAAATGAGAGGGCAGGTGTGAGGAGCTGGGCTGCTGCAGCTGGGCAGGATCCTTTTCCAGCACGCTTCCTCGAGCCTGTGCATCCGAGCTCTGCCCCACCAGGGCTTCTGAAATGGAAGACCTGAGGGGCTCGGATCCAGCAGAAACCAGGACTGGCTTGCCGTTGGCTATTACCATTCCTTTGGTTAAGTGTCTTTGTCTAACCGGCTCTTCAGGGGACATTACACATGCACTCCTGGACTGGCTTTTCTCAGCAGCAGTCCTTTCCACTGTGTTCCTTAGCACATCTTTTGACTCCCCCTGCTGATCAGGGACATTATGGCAGAGGTTTAAAGGGCTTGGGTCATCTTTCCTCTGGGCTGCCAGAATATAATCCTGAGATGCCAACGCTCCCACCACCCTCTGAACCTCCAGATCAGCATCTGGGGTGCTTCTGTGAGCTGGCACAGAGTCCTCTGTTCCCACCATCTGGTAACCTGAAAGGAACTGTCCATCAACCACACATCCTGCTGCAGCCCCTGGCAGACAGTCTTCAGCTTTACTACTGGCAGAGTCCACAGCCTCACTGGTCCTCCTCGAAACATTATGCTCCAGATGTCTCTGTCCACCATTGGCAGCAGCTACCTCTGAATTCAGCTGACTGTCTTGATGAGGAGACTCTGGGCTTCTACCTGCTGCGGGTGTCTCATATGCTGAATACCCTGGTGGGAGGCGGGACATCTGATAATAAACAGGAATTCTACCTGGTGCAGTATCTAACGGCTGGGTCCCAGCATGGTGCTGCATCTGGCCAGAAGGAGAGACTGCAGAAGTGGATTTGCTGAAGGTGTGGGTAGGAGAGGTAGTCTGGGGGGAAGGAGTGGCTTCTTCCGTGAAGAGAGAGGCATATGGCACAAAGTGGGGGACATGAGAGGCGGTGAGGTTGGTGGAAGGAGACAGGAGCGGATTAGGCAGGAAGCCGGAAGGGACAGCATAGGGCACTGTGTAATGCGAGCCGATGAACTGCAGGGACGTTGGGGTGATCTGTGCGTAGTGAACGGGAGGGTAGGGCACCCCCGGGTGCTGTATGATGGGCGAGCTGACACTGAAGGCAGGGGGCAGGGGGCTCACGTTCACCACGGAGTGCAGACCTGGAGGGGAGAAGGTGGCGGGCGGCGCTGCCACTTTGTAAAGCATCCCGTACTGGTCCACCGTCAGCCCCGCCACTGCTTCTGCGGCCTCGCCAGGGCCAAACCGCAGGGCTGCCGGCACCGGCCCAGCTGTCCGGGCCCACTCGGTGCCCTCGCCCGAGGCCTGGACATCCCCCGCCCGTCCCGCCTCGGTGCCAGCGCTGGCGGTGGGAAGGTCCCGCTTCTTTGGCGGGAGGCACTCCTGGCTCCGCTCGTGGCCCGCTCTCATGGTGCCCCACGCTGTCCCGGCAGCCCCGGCCGCGACGCTCGTTCATGGGGGCACCCGCAGGGGCTGCCACACGCCGGCTCCCAGATCCCCGCCGCCGGCCGCCGCCTCACCTGTGCCAGGAACAGAGGGAGCTGTGAGTCCCGGCCCTGCCACCGAAAGCCCCGGGAACGGCGGGAGCCCCGAGCGTCGGCCCTGCCCACAAGCAGGGCGATGGCCCCCAGCCCTAGTCCGGGACGCCGGGGACGGAGGGAGCCAGAGCCCGGTCAGCGGCCTCACAGTCCCGGCAGCGCCCCGCCCCGCCGAGCTCGCAGCGTCGCAGAGGCACCGCGGCCGCTCCCCGCCCGGCCCCGGGGCTCACCCGCCATCACCCGGCTCCTCCTCCGCGGCCCGCATCAGCCCCGGCGCCGCCCGCGGCCGCCTCCGGACCGACCCCTCCCCGCGCCGCGGCGCACGGCGATGACGCACCACACCGCGCGAGGGAAGTGCCTCACCCATCGGTCGGGGGCGAAATGGCCACGGCAGCCAGGGCTGACGTCACGGGGCGGCCGCCGCGCCGGTTGTCCGGGCAACTAGGTCCCCTCCCCCCCTCTCCGGGCGGGACCGGCAGTGGAGGCCGCGCGGTGCCTGCCCCGCCTCCTGCCGGGAGCGCGAATGGGGGCTGCGGGGGCGCGCCGGGCACTCGCTGGTGTTCGAAGTGTTGAGGTCCGGAGAGCGCAGAGAGAAAAAAGGCAGGGGGCGGAAGCCCACCCCCTTTTTCCCCCCGGCTTGGGCACTGCCTCCTCGCCCGCCTCACGGCCGTTTCCCAAACCAGCCGCTCTGCTTCGCGCCTGCCGGCCGCGGGGAAGGCACCGGGCCGAGCCCCCGGTGCCAGCGGAGTGAGGCGCTGTGCCTGCATCTACCGTGCCCGCTCGGCAGAAGCGGCCCTTAGCAGACGGACCCGGAACCCTGGTTGCGAGAGGCGCGTCCCACCCGGCCTCACCACGGGCACGCGCTTCGGGGCGGGTCGCTCCTTGCGTGACGTCATCACTGACTGCCACGGTGCAGACCTATCGTTACTCTGCAATCCAAGGAACAACTGTGCTTCCGCCAAGAAAAGTAGTGCGAGCGGCCACACCCGCCCCGCCGGCGCCGGCTGCGCGCTCTGCCCGCGCTGTCCCCGCTGAGGCCGCCGTCGCGCTCCGGTCCTGCGGCGTCCAGGGTCCGGGAGGCAGGAGGGAGAGCGCCGAAGCGCAGATCCCTCCGCCTGCAGCAGCGGTGTTGCGGCCCTGCCGCCGCCATTTTGAATGCCTGGGTACGGCCGCTGCCGCTTCCTCCTCTGCTGGGACCGGCCCGGTGAGTGGGGCCGCGGCCTCGCCGCCGCAGCTCGCCCCTCGCCGGGCGCCCGCCAATTCCGTGCTCTTCTCCTTCCCCCCCCGCGCTGCCGGCCAGGCCGGGTCTCTGCTGCCACGGCCTGCGAGGTCCCGACCACCCAGGGCCCCCGTGTGCCGTAGGCTGCCTCTACCCACCGCCGGCCCCCGCGACCGCGCCGTGGGCTTCGCTACGGCGGAGGCTGCCTTGTGTCCTCCTGCCGCCTCTGCTGGCGAGGCCTGCCGTGGGCCGCCCGCCCGCGTTCGGTCCCGGCCGCGGCCTGTGTCCCTCACTCGGTGGCCAGGCCCGCTCGGACTCTGCCCTGGGCTCTGGGCCGGGCGGTGGCCTCCCAGGGCGCGGCGGAGCCTCGGCTGGTACCTGCTGGAGCGGCACTGCCGGCGGCTTCTCTCGCCTCTGGTGGGACTCGGGCGGTCTCCCGCAGCGCTTCTAGTAGCGGCAGGTGCGGATCCCGGAGCCCAGCAGTGCGGGGCGCGGCGTGCGACGTGACTTTGCTCGCGGTGCAGGGGGCCCTGGCCAGCCGTTTGGTGTTGTGCGTCCGCCCGTGCTTTGGTGAGCGAGGGCTTCTGCCGCCGCCACTCGCAGCGGGCAGCCCGTGTCTCTAACGCAGTCGTCTGCGTGTTGTTTTACGGTTGCGTGGATTTTGATGGAAGCAAAAATCCTGTGATCTCTGGCCGCAGGCATTTGCAATAAGCTGCAAATACGGATTTGTGTTAGTGGCAGGCTGCTGCTTGGGAATCCGTTAGTAAAGGCAGGTTCAAGTCCCTTCTTCAGGGTTCGTAGAGTTCTCTGTTCTCTCACCGGCTATAGAGAAATGGTAATTTTTTTGGTAGTAAGCATTGTTTTTAAAGTTTGTACCTGTATTTATGGCAAATAGAACAGTTGTGTGGTTTATTACATTGTAAGTGATGCTTAACTATGTTAGTAATATGCTTTACTTTTTGATGCTTAAAATATTAGAGGAACAGTATAGAATACCAGTGGGACATGCCTTTGGAAGGGTGGCATTTCATGTGTGTGACCAGAAAGTGGGTTTGCCCCATACTGGTTTAAACAAAGTAAAATATATGTGGTTTTCCCCCTAAATAGTATCCCTGGCATCTTAAATTTAAACTGGCAGAGATTGTTGTGTTGTTTTCTTTTTCTCCTTTTCTGCTCCTATGTGACAGTGCATAGAGGGGTTTTGTGTGCCTGTTCCCTCTGCCCCCTTCTCTAAATTACACTTGTTATTTTTTACTCTCTTTGTTTGCATGTCACATACTGTTGCCAAGTTCTTTCTTTTGCCTATTCATGTGCACTCTGGTATTTGGCACAGGATTTGAGAACTTTGCTGGGGACCTGAGAGCCCAGTGGAGCTGAGACATTTTGTGGGTTGTTTTTCCTGAAGGGTTCAGTGGGAATCCTTCAATTCTTCCACGATGGAAAAAGGAGAGGAAGACTTCTAAAGTCCTGTGAGTTGAGAAGGGGAAACTAAGTCTGTGGTAATGTCGGTGACATGGACAGTGGGATTGAGTGTGCCCTCAGCAAGTTTGCCAATGACACCAAGCTGTGTGGTTCGGCTGATACGCTGGAGGGAAGGAATGCCATCCAGAGGGACCTTGACACGCTTGTGAGGTGGGCTGATGCCAACCGCATGAAGTTTAACCATGCCAAGTGCAAGGTCCTACACCTGGGTCGGAGCAATCCCAAGCACAGCTACAGGTTGGGCAGGAGAGAGATTCAGAGCAGCCCTGCAGAGAAGGATTTGGGGGTGTTTGGTCAATGAGAAAATGAACATGAGCCAGCTTCAGTGTGTGCTTAGCCCAGAAACCAACCATATCCTGGGCTGCATCAAAAGGAGCGTGACCAGCAGGTTGAAGGAGGTGATCCTGCACCTCTGCTCTGCTCTCCTGAGACCTCACTTGGAGTATTGTGTGCAGTTCTGGTGTCCTCAACATAGGAAGGACATGGAACTGTTGGAACAAGTCCAGAGGAGGGCCACAAGGATGATCAGGGGACTGGAGCACTCCCATATGAAGATAGGCTGAGAAAGTTGGGCCTGTTCAGCCTGGAGAAGAGAAGGCTGCGTGGAGACCTCATAGCAGCCTTCCAGTATCTGAAGGGGGCCTATAGGGATGCTGGGGAGGGACTCTTCATTAGGGACTGTAGTGATAGGGCAAGGGGTAATGGGTTAAAACTTAAACAGGGGAAGTTTAGATTGGGTGTAAGGAGGAAGTTCTTTACTGTTAGGGTGGTGAGGCACTGGAATGGGTTGCCCAGGCAGGTTTTGAATGCTCTATCCCTGGCAGTGTTCAGGGCCAGATTGGACAGAGCCTTGGGTGGCATGTTTTAGTGCAAGGTGTCCCTGCCCATGGCAGGGGGGTTGGAACTGGATGATCTTAAGGTCCTTTCCAACCCCAACTATTCTGTGATTCTATGATTTGTGAAGGGATCCAGCTTTTCTGTCTCTAGTGTGTAAGGTAACTTTCAGATTTCCTTGTTTTTTGACAAAAAAGCTTTTTCTCCCTCAATGCCTTTCCTGTGACTTTTGATCTGATATTTCTCCTAAAGGTGGTATGAGAGGAACAGAGGGGTCCTGCAGTACCTTTATTGCAGTGTCCCAGTGAGAGAGAAAGGGATACAGAAAAGGTTCTGAATTCTTGGTAACTCCTTAGTATGCAGAGTTTTGCGGTGGCATCATTGTAGGCTACAATGAGATCAGTGAATTTGTCAGACAATAGTGTGAGAAGGTTATGAACAGTAGCAAAGTAACTGAAAGTGTCTGTTCTTAGGCATGCAAACAGACTGCACTGGTTAGTATAGTTCAAGTTTGGAAAGTCACCTTTCAAAGTGAAAGGGCTCTTAAAAATCTTAATGGCTTCTGAAGCTGACAGTACTCATTCAGTAAAGCTTCTTCTGCCTCTTCGGTGTGAATATTTGTTTTTATTTTTGAGTTGGCAGTGTATGTAACTTTAGAAGATGTATTGTTTGGTTTAATTTATTTTTTGATCCAGACTGGTTTGGATTGAAGGTACCTTAAAGCTTATGCAGTTCCAACTCCCTGGCATGGTCAGGGGCACCTTCCACTAGAGCAGCTTGCTCCAAGTCCCTGTGTCCAACCTGGCCTTGAGCACTGCCAGGGATGGGGCAGCGACAGCGTCTCCAGGCACCCAGTGCCAGTGCCTGACCACCTTCACAGTAAAAGCAAACTTTTATGACCAAAAGTGGTATTTTTTTTGTTTTAAATGGTACTCCTCTGTTCTCTGAGGAAGAAGGGTCTGCTCTGCCTTGGCAGCAATAGTACTTCATTGGATGAGAGTTTTGGACTTAATAAGGGAATACCTGATGAGACTGCAACACGAGAAATAGTTACAGTAATGTGAGTACAAGTGACTGCTAATATCACAAGTAGTGGCAGCAGCCCTTACTGGGTTTGGCAGAGATGTTACAGGTAAAATCTACAACTGGAATTTTCTAGGGCATAGCTGAAGTTACCTGGTGTATTGTCAAGGTTCTGTTAATGAAAGTAAAAATGTGGCATCTAGTCTGGCAACCAGCATTAATCAAGGTAAAGAAAACTGGGGGTTTTGGTCACAAAGCAATAGCCATTTTTTTAACCACAAACTAGTAGCTTGGTTTTATTTATTCATTTGTTTTTTATTTTAAGTCTGCAGGAAAGTGAACAGGAAGTAAAACACCCAGATTCCTTTACAGATCAAAATAGTTAGGAAACTGGAAGCAGGTGAGAGATACAAGGGTAATGTAGGTCAGCAGTGATTGAAGTATAGAAACAAAAGCCAGGAAATCTGTAATTCTGATCATAACTGTCACGCTGATCAGCTGTGTGCATGTGCTAACTCTTCACACATT